AAAAGTGACTCACAGCCGGGCTTTTTCGGCAAAAGATAAAATGTTTTCTAACAAGATGAAGACAGAAGGATTTGTGATTTGATTTGACAGCAAGACTCTTTCTGTTGGAACAAACTATGTGGGTAAATGATGAAGCATGAAAGTTAGGTACCCCAGCTTTAAAGTCACAGTGCTTTTGCTTTAGTGACTGAAAAACAGTTTAGGTTAATAATGTCAGTGTTTTTACAGCTTCCCTTCGGTTATAGTTACTTATTTACATCTTTTACAGTTGTTATATGTTTGGTATACATTCATTCATGTAATTTATTGTTTTGAATTAGTTCTCACAATAATTTCTCACTTTTCTCTTTATCAATTGGGCTATTATCTTCTATTCATGTAATATTAGTATAAAGTAGCAGCAGCAGCAGTGGTAGTACTTATGCACTGGTTCTGACCTAAGAAATGTAAATCACATACACCAATATTGGATTTTTTTAAGTGATTAAGACAATTTACTGGCTGATGTTGAGCCAGTTCATCTTCATAAACTAGAACTTGTATCAATACTTGTATCAATATTGTGATCGGGCGTATATAAAAATGTCATCTTCTCTCTCTCCCTACATTTAGGCTTGTAGGTTTTATTCAGTATATGACCTGTTTTGTCCAGTGCTGTATCAAAGTTAAATTTATTCAGTTCACAATGTTGAAATTTGAAATGAAAATGTTTACTTCAGTACTATAGGAAAAGGCTGGATCTTGACATTCTATCAATCTTTCTATTTAGAGACCACAAATGAGTGTAAGTAACAGAAGATCAATTTCAAAATCCAAAAAGAGCCATTATCATCCTATTCCTGTAATATCATTGCGTTTCAGTTCAGACGAGAATCCAGTTTTCATACAGTTTGCGAATTGATTTTGTAGTGCCGATTCTCTGGTTCGCAATATCACAACGACAGATTATTGAGACCTGTTCGGTTCGGGATCTTATAGGCTTTTCCAAACTCTGAATAATTTCTTGCTCTCATCCCTCGGAGCCCTGAGCACGCTCATGACTCCCACCCACCTGACTGCCTGTTCCTCTTTCACTTCTCCCCTCTGCACTTTTCCATAATGCCTTACAGATTTTTACACTCCATCCACCTTTGCGATGACAAGGCTTTGAGGAAATCCAATTCCAGGCCGAGCTGTTTTTCAGAACTTGCTCCTCTCCGCGGGGGCACACACACACACACACACACATACACACATATATATAACACCATCTCGGCAAATTAGTCAGGGAACAAATTACCTGCATTGCGAGTGTGATCCCACGCACTTTGCCTGGTTTGCCTAACACAGGTCGCCTTTTGAAGAGCAGCCATGTGATTTTCTCCCTCGGTTTTGCCCTCTAGGCGCTCCTTTGCCTTCTGCGGAGTAGGATTGAGGAGTTGAATTTTAAAAACTATGTATATGCCTTGGCTTATCAGCGTGCGCACAAATGGCATGCAAATCAGAACGGGATCACACGGCACAGCATTGGAGGCCCCTGCACTCAAAGGCAAGCTTAATTGCTAATTGGGTATCTAGGTGTGAAACGTGTTACTTGCCAATGAGAAGCAGGGAAGAGTGTCATGTTTTAAGGCCAGTGGTTGAACTAATTAATTTTAATCTAAATGTTATTAAAAATGTGTGTGGATTCCTAGCGCTTTTTTTGTTGGAAAGGGGGAAAACAGCCCGACAGAGGCCTGAAACAGTGTGCTTATAAAATGCATGTGTCATTAGTGGTTTGGCGTTGTCGATGGAGCGGTCATACAAATGTGGCTGCTACACTGGACTCAGAGCCCGGGATGAAAGGAAAGACAGAATTTGAAGTCAGTTTGCAGTGGAAGCAACTCAGTTTGGTTAATGACCAAAGAGGCATTGCACTGTGGTGTTGTGTCCTAAGGCAAGACACTTCGCGCACTTGCCAGAATGACTGACAGTTGTCAGAAAGGCCACTGGCACAGATATGTTGGTTATTCAAAATTCATGGATTGTCTTGCTCGGTGGTGAAGCTGCGACAGTTGATTCTATTTTTATTTTTAATTAAACTAAAACTTCAAGGTGGTAACAATACAGAAGCGAGAAGGCTGAAATTGTTACTTATTTAAAGGGGTAGTGCGCAACTTTTTTTTGGACAGAGGCCGCCGCTCGCTATGGAGTCAGAAGTGGTTGGCTCTTCAGGACGTATTAGTCAGGTCACTGGTGTCCAAACTGTTTGAGTCTCTGATATGTGGATGGCGAATCGAAAACTTCGTAAAGTCCTCCGTGACGACTGCAGTTGTTATTTAGGGCTATACAAAAATACATTGAACTGAATAAAACTGACAGCTTGAACAAACCTCATCATTTTTCCATAAAAGTTCTACTATTCAATTGCATCTTTTTCTTGCTCAAAAACTTGACCACTAACATTGGTTCAGCTTGCCTTTCCGCAGACATGACGTGTAGCTATAAGCCCTGTGAAGTTTGCTGCTTGTCTCCAGTGCAGATGGATATTATGATGATTATGGTGATTATTTATGATTTGAATGCCTTGTGTGACTGTTTATATATTTCTTTTGTTCCGCAGTGTATGAATTGTGCTATAAAAATAAACCTGCCTTGCCTTAGAGTGAGGCATGCTGTTATGCTGTTTCCCATAGCTATAAACTTATATAGAATTCATGGTTCTAAAACAAAGTCATGCTAAGGTTCTTTGAAGGCTAAAATGGTCATAATATTTCTCTTTTGATTTAATTGTGCTTTAAGCAACGGACTGGCATGACTTTATATTGCTGATAAACAATTGGATGGTGCATCCGGAAAGTATTCATAATTTTTTCACATTTTGTAATGTTACAGCCTTATTCTAGAATGGATTCAATTCATTTTTTCCCTTAAAATCCTACACATAAAACACCATAATGACAACATGAAAACTTTTTTTGTGGAGATTATTGCAAATGTATTACAAATAAAAAACGAATAAATCACATGTACATAAGTATTCACAGCCTTTGCCGTGAAGCTCAAAATGGAGCTCAGGTGTTTCCTGTTTCCACGGATCATCCTTGAGATGCTTCCACTGCGTCATTGGAGTCCACCTGTGGAAAATTCAGTTGATTTGACTTGATTTGATTTGGAAAGGCACACCTGTATAAGGTCCCACAGATGACAGAACATGTCAGAGCACAAACCAAGCATGAAGACAAAGGAATTGTCTGTAGACCTCCGAAACAGGATTGTTTCGAGGCACAAATCTGGGGAAGGGTACAAAAAAATTTCTGCTGCTCTGAAGGTCCCAATGAGCACCGTGGGCTCCATCATCCGAAAATGGAAGAAGTTTGGCACCACCAGGACTCTTCCTAGAGCTGGCCGGCCATCTAAGCTGAGCGATCGGGGGAGAAGGGCCTTAGTCAGGGAGGTGAGGAAGAACCCGATGGTCACTTTTGCCGCTTTTCCACAGTAACGGTACGGCACGACACGGCGCGGCTATTTTGCATTTACACTAGTGTTAGGATCGGGGTTTGCATACTGTTTCCGTACCACCTCGACTGTGGTTCCAGCCGCGCCGTACTGATACCGTGACGTGATGTCAGCCGACTGCCTCACACTGATTGGTCACTGGAAGCGATGTCTGACCCTTTTGTAAAAACAACTCAACCCCGCCATCTTTAAAACCCGCTGATCTGCTTCGGCTACATTACGCACAGAAAGCCCCAAAAGTCCTGGTCGGTGGACGAGGTCCACACGTTACTCTCTTTAGGCTGAAGAAAGAATTCAAAGGCAGCTTGAGGCTCAACACGGAGGTTTTACGAGGTTTTCAGGGAGATTGCTCTTGATTTGTGACTAGTCTGTGGTAATCCGGGAAATAACTGGTTAGCTCCGTATCCCGTTGGCCCAAAGCTCACACTGAAATTTTTCTACTCGTGTAAAAGTTTGATTGTCTGTTGTACACAGTGAGCTAGCATTTAGCTATTGATAGCAAGCTAATAAACTAGCTTCCTTCCTGTGCTAGTGTGCTATCTCGTATTACGTGTTGCCATTCTGTTTTGTGCTTGTACTTAAGTTGTCGTGTGTATATTTGTTTGAGAATCCCTTACCACGTGGCATCACATTCAAAAAGACTAATTGCTGCCAATTGTGCCAAAGGTGCATCAACAAAGTATTAAGCAAAGGCTGTGAATACTTATGTACATGTGGTTTAATTTAGTTTATTTTTTTTATACATTTTCAAGAATCTCTTATCGGGTGTTGTGTGTAGACTTGTGAGGAACAAAATTGAATACATTTTGGAATAAGGCTGTAACATAACAAAATGTGGAAAAAGTGAAGCGTTGTGACTATTCACTGTATTCTTAATCTACAAAAATCATTGTTTTGTTGCTTTTTCGTCAGTGACAGAACAGGGCAAACTGTCTCCTTTTACGCATATGGCCAGTGTGGAGTGACATACGTTTGTGGGTGGAGATAATAAGGGGCATTTTGGTCCAGGTGCTTGCATGGTCACACTTTAAAACGTGGCTTTGGCTTTTGGTTTGCTCCATATAATGAGAACCAGGGATGAAGATATGTCTGCAAGAAGAAGAGGGAGAAGAGGGCAATCCGCGCACATGCTTTTCCAAAACTAAAAAAAAACAGGGGCAAAGGGCAGTGGGAAGCGACGACAAGACGGGATCCTGGCGTGACATCTTCATACGCTGTTAAAAAGTCTCTGCTTTGGATTGCTTTATTGTGAAAATGCGACACACATACCTGCCACAGACACAGCGACAGCCCAGAAATGCCGCGGGCGCTACAATGCTAATGTTGTCGGGGGCTTTGACTTCTCCCAGCCATTGCAACCAGGGCTCCACCACGACGCGTGACTCTGACGCTGCTGATCTCCGCGTTCTACCTTCGACTTCGCGCTACACTTTACCACTGGGGGTTATAAAGAAGACAAACAAACAAAAGAGGCAGACAAAAGCAACACCACCCCTGTTCGTTCCCTAAAGACAGCGCTGTAAATGGACGAAACGGATATCATGGACTTAACGCATCAGAAGGCGAGGAAGCGCGCGCGTCCAATCAGTTCCGCGGATGAGGTAGCGCACGCCACGCTCAAGCGGCTCCCGGTGAGAGCGGCCGAAAGCAGGGACATGTACCCGGGCATTAGGGGAGAGCCGATGCCCGCCGCCTCACTCAAGCAGAATGACCACTCGCACAACTCCTCGCCCAACACAGTGATGCCTGTGCAGGTAAAGCTGGTGCGTAAAGCGCGCGTAAAAGTCAGTTTTTGGATGCGCCTGGTGCCTTTATCTGGGGTTTATTGTTGAAGGATGGTGTTGTGATGTATGACATGTGTGTGTTTTATGGTTGAAGTGGTTTGAAGTTGATTTACGCGTGGTTTAGACCAGTTTCGTGCGCTTTAGTCTTTTGGATTGACACGATGCATTGGATAGATGTTCGCCTTGTAGCTTTTCTATCATCACTGGTTTAGTATTTTTAGTCCGTTCCGACATAGTCATTCCCTAACTTATCCATGGATTGTATTGAAGTGCATGTTGCCTAAAGGTCTTTGCTTTATATACTGCAGAATTAGCCGTATGTTTTCCCCAAGTTGCATACTTTCGAGTTTGCATTAGGCTGTTGTGTAGCACTAATACAATCCAACAAAACCACAAGTTCCTGTTTTGCCTTGTAAACTGCTGTACTGTGCAGGCATTTTCCCAGGGAACTGCCTTAGTGAAAAATGCTTGTTTAAACTCACCATAAAAGGCTTCCAGCTTTTGGGACCAGACTTCTACTCACTCTGATCTTCACAAGACATTCACCAAAAAGACATGGTTCAAAAGGTTACATATACCCCCAGTTCTAGACACTGCTTTAATTAAATAGCACGCATACATATATAGTCATAAAGGCGATAAGCTATGACTACAATTCGAATTTTGTGCATTTCTCATCAGCATCAAATTCTCCCCCTTTGGCTAAACAATGTTTGTAGGTTACCAGTGCATAGAGACATTTCAGCAGAGTCTTATTAGCGCAGTGGAATCAAGGCGGCTCGTTATTGCTCATTTCGAACAGTGAAATTGATGCTCCAAATTAATTCAGTTTTGGAGATTATGGCCCACAGGAAAACATGCAGGGCCAGGGCAGGGCACCATTCAGGTCAAGGTCAGATTGAGCCGCAATCAATGATTCTCACTGCGTTATAAAAAAAAAGAAAAGGAGAGACTGTACAGATGAAACATTATGTAGTTTATCAAGTGGAACCAAAGCTCACGGGTTTTTGCTGCAATGAAGTTACTGTAACAACATGAGAACTCTTCACAATAGAAATCTCACTGTACTGGAATCTGTTGTGTGACTTTTTTTTACTGGCTTTTGGCAGGATAATCGCTCCAGTATGTCACGGCCCATGATCACGCGGTCACCAGTGTCCCCTCTGAGTAACCAGGGCATCCCCACCCCGGCACAGCTCACCAAATCCAATGCCCCGGTGCACATCGATGTGGGCGGGCACATGTACACCAGCAGCCTGGCCACCTTGACCAAGTTCCCCGAATCCAGGTAAGAATGCGGACATTACAAGGGCCATTAGAGCTGTTGTAGACTATAATGCGAGCGCCTAAAACGTATGCTCTATATTGTACAAAAAAACAAAGATGGACTGGACTACAAAGACCATGATGCCTTGCAGTAGTTCAATGCAGACATAAGGATTGTGATATGTGGTTAAACTTTTGGAATAGCTATTATTATTACACTGACTACTATTGAGGTTAAGATACTTTTGTCCCTGTCGGGAAATCCTGCATTTGACCATCTGTATGTTACCATTAAAGTACTGACATCAGGCATATTAGAAACTTTTCAACCCCTCAAGTATTGACCCAAATGGCCTAATGTTTTTCATTAATGCCTTCTTAGTCACTTGTTTCCCTTACAATTATTTTGTGCCAAATACACTGATGGAGTAAAGTGGAACAGATCAAATCCTTGATGATTATCATGCCTTTCCAGCAGTGGCAACCAGACAAGTTGTATTACCTAGTAACTGAAAAAAATGATGAAAATTTGGCAAAATGTTTCTTAATTTTAGCAGTCAATGGGACAAGCAAAAGGATCTTGTTTAAAAATAATAGAAGAAATATCTCCTTTGAAATAAGACTAAAGGGCTTGTCCTATTGGCAAATATTGTTTTAAGACAGTCAGAATGATCTCAAGTTATTATTTCCTCCATATTTTGTCATTTTGTGCAGTGATAAGTTTTCTCAATATGATAACTTAGCATTCAATTGGATTACTATTGCAACACACATCAGTAATGGGGTAAAACTAACCTCTCTCAATGCTTTCAACAATATTAGAAGAATCCTCACATGAACTGTTACAATAGGAGAAATATCTTGTTTTTGAATAAGCCAAAAGCAATCATACAAACACTGAACAGAAGCCTGACAAGTGCAGCAGGCAGACAATGGCGACTTGGTTATTCTGACAGATGTCGCAGCAGCAGTGAAGGGCCAGAGGGTGAGGGGCCATCTGGAGGCCGGGGGCTGCACTGTCGCTCCGGGCTGTGGCCCTAGGGCGACTGTCACGCGCCCGGAGGCACACAACACCCGGGTGCTCCTCTGACCTCCTCCACACCTCTTATTCAGCCTGTTTGTCTCCTCTTTGCTTCTGTTCCATTGTTCTCTATGTGGGCTTCTTGTTTGACCTATATACAACATATATACAAGGCTTAGATAACAGTAACATTATTTACATCTCATTCACTCAAAAAGATCACTCAGAGTTGATGTGTTTATTTTTAAAAGGACATTTCAACTACGTATTTTTTAAGATATTAAGAGATCCTTTATTTGTCCCACAGTGGGGAAATTTCAGTGTTGCATCACCAGTTACAGAACAGTAGGAATGAGCACACAGGATAAGATAAATGAACTCGGCTACTAAAACAATAACTCTTTACTGAATTAATAATAATAATATGAAATAAAATCACTATAGACTGCTTCCTTATTTTTCTAAATCTAATCTATAATAAGAAGCAACATTTAAGAACAAAATGTTTGACTTTTCCCATGTTCAAGTGGTTATGTCTTGGCCTGTCACAAGAACTCATTTTGACAAGACGATAAATTGCTCCTGTGGTAAATTATTATATTGAAACTACTTTTTTCTACTGAAGAAAGTCTGGTGCAGTGGTACAATCCCATTAAATCATTTTGAAATTTCAATATATCAATTTCAATAAAAACCTAAGATAATGAGCAGTAGAAGTAAGTCATTTTTAGACATTTTAAAGCTAAAAAACGTCTAAAAATGACTTGAGAAGAAAAGCAGAAACGTGCCCACTATTGCAATGAAAATGTACAGATGATAATTATTGAATACCAAAATATATTGTTCATATCCATCATTGAACAAGTATTTATAGACTGGCCTAGTTATGCCAACAAGCTACACTTTTGTACATTATTTGTTAGACAAGGTAATTCAAAGCACTTTCATAAGATCTCAATACAAACAAAAGTACAAGCAATGATATAATTTTCTCACAATACCGTGTAACTCTCTGGATGTGGATCGTCATATGATTCTGTAGCAATAGAAAGATGAAAACAATACTCCAAGGAAACAGGTCAGTTTTATGTGGTGGAGTGGAGTTGGTTTTTAGTCAAAACAACAGTTCCATGGACACAAGCATGAGAGGAGCCTCCTTTAACACTTTTTTTCAAAGGAAATAACATTATTATTCAGATATATTTGCAAGTTGAGGTGAGTAACATTGATAGATATGTGATTGTCAAAACATTTAATGAAAAAAAACATTTTAAATATTACACTTTTTAATGGGCAACAATAATGCGTAATGAGACTTACTTTCATGTTTTTGAATGTTAAATAAAGCGTGAAACAATCAGTGGTGTTAAGACTTTTATAAAGTTTTATTCAAATGACAAAAGACAAGTTCTTGTGCATCAGTGATTTGGGAAAAATACTTGTTTATGAATATGCCACAAAAGACAGTTTTACAAGATGTTTTGTTTTAAAGCCCAATTTGTTTGAAATCTGATCAAATGAATATACTCTCAAATATTTCACATTTGAAGCAAATCATCATACGAATAATCATATATAAGCTAAATAATTATTGGCTGCGTCCCTGCTTATTATTCCCAGTTTGAAGCCACCAGTGCTGGGAGAGACATTTGCCTTCAATTAGATGAGATCACTTAAACCAAAGCGGTTTCATCTCGGGCCCAAATGTGGCGGTGGACTGGCTGAACATGGTGATCTCCTATTGTAGCCTTCTAATCAAGCTGTAGGGATCATCACAACGCAGTCCACCGCCTCCAGCTCCAACACGAAGAATGACTTGCATCAGGAGGAGCAGCTGCCCCGAGTCAAATCAATATGAGAATGGTCGTTTATAATAAACACGTGGCAATCTGAAAGTGGTGGGGTTTTTTTTTTTTAAATAAGGGAAATGCCATGATGTCAGTTTGGTGATTTTCTGTTTTAAATGGAGAGAATTGTGTCTCGCCAAATGTGTCATAATAAAGCTTCAGTGGAAGAAATATATTAAATATATTCATTCAAAGCATATAAATAATGTATCGGTTATGTTTGTCAGTTTTGTAGACTTTATGAAATTTCAATAAGGCGTGGTCATTGAGCAAGGAACAAATAACATTTTATAGGTGATCCGGATCATTGCTCGGATTCAGGAACGTTCTTACAGAATGGCCTCTTGGCAGAGGTCTGCACTCTACGCATGCTTTTGTAGTTCCTAGTGTTCTGTGATGGTTCTGCAAAACTGACATCTCTTCACTGTGAGATGCAACAAGGGTTTTTTTTATCTTATTTACATCAGTTTACACTTGCTTTGGTCCAAGGCCTTAACTGGTCCACTACGTATTGTATTTTTGTTTTGATACATTGATAAACTATAATGACTTAACACTTCAAATTATACTGTCCCTGCACAGAAATGTGTCTCCTGCATTTGATCCATCCTCCAGTGCCACTAGGGCTGTCGGATGCAGCAGTTGTTGTAGTACAGGACCTGAAACCTATCCACAAGTTTTAGTGGTTGGGGAAACCTGAGAATCTGGAGGAAACTTACGTAGACATGGGAAGAACATGCAAACTCCACTCAAAGGCACTGTTCTGACTTAGAACCCAAGGTCTCAAATGTGTAGTTCTTTGTTAAAAAAAAAAGATCTAACAATATGTGTTTTGTGTTTTAGAATCTGTATGTTCCAGATTAAAAACTACATTATCAAAACACAATTGTTATTAGTAACTAGTAACAAAACTTAACACCTTCAAGTGCCAGGAGCAATCCACAATAATACTGCTGGACATTCCCAAAATGTTCAAGTAGTTTCCTCTCGTATCAACCACATATTTTTCTGTTTTGAACCTTTAGCCGCAGATTTAAAAGTGTTAGTGATGTAACCAGCACGTCTTGACCTGGTGCAATGCAAACACGGAGATAAATTGCCTAACCCAGTGTTCCCTCCCCTCTCTGCCTGCTAGAATCGGCCGCCTCTTTGATGGCACAGAGCCCATAGTTCTGGACAGCCTGAAGCAGCACTACTTCATTGACAGGGATGGACACATGTTCCGCTACATCCTCAACTTCCTCAGGACGTCCAAGCTGCTCATCCCCGATGACTTCAAAGTAAGTGTCGAGAAAACTGTACAAAGTCCCATCAGTCAGCACTCCTTCAAGTCTGCACACACCATGAATGCTGAGGCTCTGGCTGTGTCCACGCTGCAGGGCAAGTACAGCCTGATATGGTTTAGTACATTTGTATTTTGGTGAGGACCTGGTATTTTGGGCCTTTCATCCCCACCGCTGTCAGACTGTACAATAAGTCACTTAAATGACCTGCACAAGGACTGAAACTCGCATTGCTACAGTCATTTTAAATTTTTATTGCACTTAGTATATCTTTCACAAAAGATACTATTTATGCCAAATGTGACATGTGGATTTCTCCATTGTGAGATTAATGAAGTTCATCTTATCTTATGTTTATTATGAAGTTTCAACAAAGCTTTCTGAAACTCTAAAAATTACATATTGTAGTAATTCTAGGCCTCTCAAGTTGAACAAAGTTTCAATGGCTCCATCTATTGTCAAGACCGTGACAATTTTATTCAACCTCTAACCATGAGTTGAAAACAACTTTAATCTTCTATTGCTTAAAAAATATCCAAGAACTAAATAATACAATTTTTACAACCCTATTAATTACCCCAGCATTATTTATTTAAGCTAATTAGCAATAATTGTCAACTATTTCTAATTCAGTTAATTGTTAACTGCTAGAGTACATACAGACTGCAACATATGCAAGTGCAGATGTGTTTTTAAGACAAAGAGGCATGCAGCTTTTCATGTGAAAAAGTTGTCCTTGCAGTGGTCCAGTGACTGAGTGGTCAGTGTGGCACCTTTTACTTTCAATTAACAAAGACGTTGAATTTGCCAACACATCAGAGAATCAACAGTTCAAACAAGAAAAAACACATTGGTCCCTAGTGGGCAGATGACTTAATATCCATAAACATTGTTGAATGTTGACTGTCCTGGATCATCACCTCTGTCCTTTTTAGTTAGACCCAGACAAGGGCCACAGTGGTCTCTTTGATGCTACAGGATCAACTGTTGGTGGATTAATGTATTGATCAAAGGTAAAATAATACCTTAATCAAAAGTAAAATAATAAAGCTCTAGTCTATAATCGTATAAATGTACTAGAATGGTAGATATTGGTATAGCTTCGAGCCCTCAGCACTGGCCATAAGCATCCAGTTGTTCAATGATGAGTTTGCAGCCAGTTTCTTCCATTAACACCAAACATGATGACTGGAGCACTTGAGTCAAATAAAATGAGGAAATGCATTTTAAAACGCTAAAATATTCATGGTATGACGATAACAATTTCATATAGGGTCAACATTAACAATACAGTCTGAGGTTCTGTTGGGCCGTACAGTTTATTGTGTGCAATATATCGGGAATTATTTATATTGCTGTTTGCCATTTTGTGTGTAATTACTGACTTAGCCTCAGGGAAAACAAATAAGCACTTATCAGATGGACTGTCTGCAGGGCGACTCAATCACTGTAAAGTATGTCAGCTAAAATAAGCAAAGACAAAACGCAGAGCCAGGTTCACTCTGAGGCCACAACGGAATGGATTTGAAAAAAAGTGATTACTAAAAAAAGTGTTTCATTGTGTAACTTGTCAGAATGCCAAAATAGTTGGGACGTAAAGCCTTATGTGTGTGCGGTTGTTTTCAAAAACAGATTGCGACACAAGGATTATTATTATATTATTTTTTTTATTTTTTCTTCCATAACACCAAAACCCTCATCTGCAGTGGAGTAGAATCAATTGAAAAATATTCAAGGAACAATACTTTAAATTAGACAAGCTTAGGTCTTTATTTACTTTGGCAATAGTAAGCAGCATGATACAATTGTATGTCTTAAACTTGACCAAATTTTCCAAACCACACTCGAAAAGAGTTGACCCAGGGGTGTCCAAACTTTGTAGTAGGGACTTTAGTTCACCAAACTTGTCCAGGGGCCGACAACATTCTAAAACTGCTTTTTTAGGTCTTTGGGCTTTAAATATTTGGTTGGATATGCTCATATTTATCAACACTGCATCCACACTGCTGCCATTTTGGGACACAAATGAAAATGAATGACGGTATATATATAAATGACTCTGTAAAAGGCCCTCAATGGATAGATAGAAATAAAATAGTGTGTTGCTTTGACCAGGTTTGACTTGACAAGCAAAAGATTTGTCAACTCACTTGTGTTACTTGAAATGAGGAGAAATCTTATTGGCCGATTCTTTGTCAGGCGAAAATGTTTCAGTGCAAGAATAATATTTTAAGTCCAATCTTAAATATAAACTGGAGTTATATTTCGGTATTAGTTGAGCTGCAAAAATGAATCATGAATCTAAGAGTGACTATTCAACAAAAATAATGTATCATGATTGAAATTTGATTCTCGTAACCATGCCAACAGTATTTTGATGGCAAAAGATAATGAGAATATTAGAAGTGAGTAATTTATTTGTATTGCACCCTTCACAGACAGTCACAAAGTGCTTTACAATTGTTGGCATTTGTCCTCTCACTCAACACAGTGATGGGAGTGGGGTCTCCAAACAGAAGGCGTAGACCGACCTACTGTACATGTTCTTAGAGGTAGGGGACGCCGCAGCACTTGGAGGAAACTTAGACATACAGTAGGGAGAGCATTCAAACTCCACACAGAAAGTCTCTGCCTGTTTGAATGATTCCATCAATATTCTCTATATGGGAGTCGGTTAACACATCTGTGGTCTGTAGAAATGTGCTATATTAAAAAGATTACTTACATCTATCACGTTCTTCTGCCCAGGACTACAGCCTTCTTTTCGAGGAGGCCCGGTACTTCCAGCTTCACCCCTTGCTGTCGGAGCTGGAGCGCTGGCGTCAGGACCAGGAGCTGAGCCGGGTTTCGCGTCCGTGCGAGTGCGTGGTGGTGCGCGTGGCCCCAGACCTGGGCGAGCGCATCACCCTGAGCGGAGACAAGGCCCTCATCGAGGACGTGTTCCCCGAGATCGGAGACGTCATGTGCAACTCCGTCAACGCCGGCTGGAACCACGACTCCACGCACGTTATCCGCTTCCCCCTCAACGGCTACTGCCACCTCAACTCTGTCCAGGTAACTGCAGCAATACTCAGATTCAGTTTATTTGGCATTTGCAGTAAAACCACATTTGAATACATGTCATGAGCCCTTTCTAACATATGTATATATACTATAGAAGGGAAGAAGTATAAAAGTGTGGTTTTTATACTTACTATAACTTCTACATACATTTTAGTTAACATGTACAACATGTCTTAGGCCCTGTCCACACGAAGTCAAGCTCAGGCCTAAACGCAAAAATACTTTATCAATCCAGTGTATCGTCCATACGAGGCCGGCGTTTTGGGGGGGTGTAAACGAACATTTTTGAAAGTAGGTCCCAGAGTGGAAAGATTTCAAAACTCTGTATATGCCGCTCCGTGGTTACTGCCTCTCCGCAATGTATCTGAGACGCATGCGCCGCACTCAGAAAATAATGACAACAACAATGTAGCTTGTTGGTTTTGTAATCCAGTGTGACCCGAAGCAACAGTTCAACCTCATCGTCCGTCCATACTAATGTAGTACCAGCTCGCCCACTCGCCATGTTGTCTGTTTACAAAATTCTGCGCATGCCCAGTTCCCGTCACGGAAGTTTGGGCTTGATCCCGTCATTGCGTCACAGCGCCACCAACAGGTCTGGCATAGTTTCACAGCGTTTTCAGGCGTATTGACTACATTCATATGGACGCACACATTTACTGAGCTAACTCCGTGTTTACAGAAAAAGTTTCTGAAATTATAAGCGTTTTGTCTTCGTGTGGATATAGCCTTAGTGGCCCCTTACTACCAATGTTGCAAATTACTGCGATAAAGATAATTGAAAATCATTACAGGGGCCACTAAAAATTTTCTCGCAGTCCTTATTTGGCCCACGGGCCTGAGTTTGACATGCTTGCACTACTATATTGTTAAAAAGTCCATTTACTTCTGGAATTCAACTTACAATGTGAAACTAATACATGACAAACGCATTAAACACAAAGTGATATTAAGCTTTTGTTATATTGTTGGTTCACAATAAAACATCTCAGAAAATTAGAATATTCTGAAAATGGACTGTAAATGATCAAAAGGAGAGGAAACTCTATCGTATATTGGTTTTACATTTAAAGTTGAATAAGATGAAAATACATACATTTTTTTATTAAACAGGGACAATGCAGTCATACAGTTAAAGCAAAATGCAACGGATATGACACATAGTTTTAGAAAAGGCAAGTTTCATGATTTTACTTATTGCAGTTTATACACAGAAACAAAGTGCTTAACGAAACAAGAAAGGAAACATTAAAATCATAGATACAGATAAAAGTACATTCAAAAGAGTGTGGACACCATCCTTCAGTTTTATGCACAGCTAAACAGAACTGTTTTTAACAAGGATTTGAACATTGTCACAGATGTCTGTCTCACATTTTCAGGAAGACCTTATCCATATTATAAAACTCATAAACCCATGGCCACTGCTCGCGTGATAATCATATTAACGAGCCACAATATTAATACTATGAAGAGTGGGAAAAGCGGTCCACTAGAGTTTCAAGTTTTTTGGTCATAACATACAAGAATTTATTTGCCATTTGCAGTGAAACCACATTGGAAAAACTGCAAGACTACCCTAGTGTGTTGCAGACAGTACACACGGTGACATGGTCTTACATGTCACAGCTAATTTTAATTTCCAGGATTGATATAAGTATTGGTATTAGCAATGATTACTAAAGAAGAAATAATGAGGAGCACAAGTAAGCCCTTTGCTTTTGATAAACACAATGAAAAACATTACGTCTTTTCATATCCATTTTCATACCTTGGACAGTTGATACAGACCACTATTATTATATATCGCAATCAATCTGGACTCAAAGCTCTTTTAACTGTTTATTCCATTACTCAAAAGGCTACTCAAGTACAGTAAATAATACGGACATCTGATGAGACGGCAAACTTGAACTTACTAAAACATATTTACTTTGAAATCCCTGCACTGGGGCTAGTCTCGCTTTATTCGGACATTGTAAAAGAGAAAAAACCAGTGTTCATCCTTACAACTTTCCCCCACGAGGAAAACAGATGGCACTTGAGTGCGATTATAAACTCCTATAGTAAATGCTGTGGGGCGTCGCCGCTATAGAGTCGACGGGCGATAATTGTGCGCTTCACAAAATGGAGAAATCTTCCATCAAGGTGGATCGTCACATGAATGCGCGGACCGAGGGGAAAGTAGCTGACAGCATGAGGAAGTGAGCAATTTGGGATGCAATAGACACAAGATGGTGCCCCAGAGTGTTCAGCGAGGTTCAAATCAATGCTCCATTTTAGAATCAAACACATACTTTTGATTGACAACTCTGGCAAGCAAAACATCTCATCCTATTTTCTTGTTTGTGCCGATTTCCCGCTCGGGATGTGTCAATATTGCATTTGCATGATTACATATTGAAATCCTACTAATTCATTGATGAAACAAACCTTGCATGAATAAATGAAAGCAAATGGGCATGTAAGACGGGATTTAGCAGCGATTTGGCCTATGTCTCCGTCAGAAGAAGTCAAAAAATCTAACAAACATGTTTCTGTATAACGTGTGCCGGAGTCGTGGAGCGCGAGCAAGAGACTGAGCACGCTCCCTAGCAGGTTGTCCCCAGGCAGGCCCATAATCCTGTTTGGATATTAAAGCTCGCCGCCGGTGGATGCTGTATCTGCAGCTAATGGAGGCAAGGCGGGTTTTTTTTTTTTTTTGAGAGAGAGAGACAAGGAAGGGGGAGAGCTGCCAGCAGTAGAAGGACCTTTGTAGTTTTGGCGGAGGCTTGGGCCTGAGGGCATCTAAAAGGGGGTGGTTGTGGTGGAGGAGAAAAGGGGAGGGAGGGCAGGGGGGGGGTTTGCCGAGCGGCCCAGACTGAGCCAAGTGGCGGGGAGAAAAGGCCCGGCAACTCCCTGGGGGCTCTTTGATGGAATGTGATCCTACAGTCCTCCCGGTTGTGTCTGTGGATGTCTGCGAGGCTCCGAGCGTGTACAACGGCACAATATGCACCCGTTAAAAACCCAATGAAAATGAGTTGTAGCAAAACACGATGGGGGGGGGAGAATTTGGAAGAGAAATCCAAATTCTCATCACAGACCGTATGCTGCTACCGCTCCCAAAGCTATATCCAAACTCAGCAGTGTAAAAAGTAACCAGACACAACTCGGCAGCCTCCCGGTGGTAAACAAAAGGTTAGAGGCCGGCATTAATGTTTAAGCATCGCGTTATATGGTGACTGCAGATGCCAAGAAATTATGCAGCATCTGGATAGAGTGTAAAATGAATCAGCACACCCAGGACCACCGGATGTCTGTACAGTGCTCCGGTCCTGACACTTGGCTTATTAAAGTTAAGATGCAGATCTGCAGGAGGGCTGTGCAATCAACCGAATGTCTCTATGATCAAGGTTCAGTCATCTTGAGTGAGGCTTGTTTTTATAATGACTGTCAAATATTTTACCCCCGGAGAGCTACTTATAGCAAGAAAAAAGTGTATAGTTTCATACTTAAATAACACATTTTCATTTATTCCTGCACAAATTTACAAGGATGGAAGAAATGCAACTCTGGCATTTCTGGACTGGGCACAATTTGTTCCCAGAACCTAGAGTAGAAAATCTTACAATCAAATTAAAGATTTCAGAACTAGAGAATGGGAAACTTGTCCAGCATCTGATTTAATAAAAGTGTATCCTTTTGTTCTTTCTCTTTCTTAATGACCTTTAAGAATGACCAAATCTGTAATGATAATATATCTTAAACGATGTGGAATGTGAGTGTGTTAAGTAGGTATCTTATTATTGCTGAATTGGGATCCTTACTTGCAAGATTGTTTTTAATTCATATTTTTGGAAGAGAAGTCACATTTACACTGACATATGCAGTTTAGAAAGTTTTGCATATCTACAGTCACTTCCTGTTTTCTGTCCAATCAAATGTGACCAAACACAGCCCATGAAAAGGGCAGCTCAGGACAGAGGTTCAGACTCTCTCATATGTAAATCTGTGGTGTGGGTCTGGCTGGCCTGGCTACCCATTCATCATAAAGTCTATCATTTCTAAATCCTTTTTGGGATCTCTTTGCACTCCAGTCTTGAGACTTGTTTATTGTTAGACCAAATTCGACTTGAGGCTAATTTCATGTATGTAGCTTTTGAAAAATGCAGAAAAGTTTTTAAGCATGTCTATAAACTCTTATCATTCTAATTATGGCCAACACTTCCCTTGTCTATATGGCATTTGATGTGATATTTTGAGGCATTTTCCAGATTGGTTAATTCCACCGGTCTGATGCTGACCAATCACAAACTGATATAACCCCTCACATAAAGCACACACTTCTGAACCATATACATATATTTATATTTGACATAAAGCCACACAAGTGCTGTTGATGGCCTGATGTTTTTGCTAACACACATGTCTTCTATGTCTGCAGGTGCTGGAGCGCCTTCAGCAGCGTGGCTTTGAGATCGCAGGTTCTTGTGGCGGCGGCGTGGACTCCTCCCAGTTCAGCGAGTACGTGCTGAGGAGGGAACTGCGGAGGACGAGTCATCGAGGAGTGCTCAATTCAAACAGGATAAAGCAGGAGCAGCTGGACTAGACGCTGGACTAGACGCCTCCCAATCTATAGGACATTTTACCTGCGGTGACCCAACGGCACCGCAGAGTTCTGTGGACTATTTGCTTTTCTGAATTCTCCTTTTTTTTTGCCATAAGAAGATAATGAAGACTTTTGTTTGGCATTCGTGATTGTCTAGCCCCCTTAAAAACTTACGCTGGATCCCAAATAAAGATTGTTCGAGCCTACATTAGGTTATTTTGTTTTATGTTGCCCTTTTTAAATTAAATTTTCATTGATTGCGTTTTGTAGTGTTGTTTAGCTTATCTTCACTGAATAAATTAGTCGCACTGGCCAATATCTTTATGTTCCTCAACCATACTTAAAAGAAAACGTCCCAAATTGTTTGCTTACAAGCAGAATGTCAAAAGTGATTCAATTTTAAAACGCATTTCTTTCGTGCATTTTGTAAATTTGTGATGCTAATAATGTGTGTGTTTTTTCATTATCACATCACATGCTTTATTTTAGAATCAACATTTCAGTCAAATCTTGCTTATAACTTGTACAGTTTTAGGTACTACTGTAAATGATCCCACAACTATAAATGTGTTTGTGCTTTTTACATTCAATCTTTTTTCAAGGAGATGATGCCACAGACTGAAAAGATTAAAATTCTTATCTAACAACATTACAGTATGAAGTTGCTTATAAAGTAATTCAGATGACTGACCCCCACTTCCCCACAATCGCTAAAATTAGTTGTAAGAGAATGTAGCAAAAGAAGTAAGTCAAAAACATCTAATTTGAAGTTTCCACCATGTCTTTCATGTTTTAACTGTTTAAGAGTCCAACAAAAGAAGAAAACGTTATCCAAAGTCAAAGTAAACTTTCTGATTCCTGTGTAGTGTTTTTGAAGAGAAACTTTTGACTTGACTTTGTAAAGTTTAACAATTATATTGCACTTGTCTCAAAAATATTAAGCAGCATAAAAATAAATACATTTTCCAGAAAGAAAGTTTGTCATGGTGTGTATTTATTTCTATATACTGTGTGTCCTGTTTGCCTCACCCTGGTATGTGTTCGACTCTAGTTTTTACTATTGGATTGATTTCCCTTGTGGCATTTATTAAACTATATAATTGTGCTGTTCTGCCTGTGGGACCTTGTCTCGTTTTATCTTGTGACGTATGCTCCGTTTTTTACTTCACCTGAGTCACTACAACTTCCATCACTTAAAAATGGGGTACATAACTTTCAAATCACAAATTGTAGCTATAAAATACAGCAGTTGCATCGGGTGACTTAAAGTTGTCAATTTGCCAACACAGATCAAACACAAACACATCCACAGCCTATGGACATCTGTTCGCAGGGGCAGATGACCAATGCCCATTAATGTTAATAGTCCTTAAATGTCCTGGACCATCACCACTGTCCTCAGACCCTCTTGCACCGGCAAGGAACAACTAAAAAACCAACTCAGGGGAAAATGGTGGGAAATTGGGTGAGGGATCTGCTCTCACGGATGAACAGGCCCAGGACTCAGGCTAGATCAACTTGAAAACTGAAAGTACCACCCTCAGCCAAAGTGTCAAACAGTGACTCCCAGGGCTCTTTCTTACAAGAATGCAACATGTTTTCTAATAAGATTAATATATTTTGTCATCTGATTTGAACAATTTATTTTTAAAAGACACAATTTAGGTTCCCAGCTTTAAATTGCAGACATATTGATATGAAATGTCTACTTTGAGAAAAACTTTGGAGAATCAGATCTCCAAACCAATAGCGGTCCACCTTCAGGATCAGTACCGGTGCCTCACTGACTACATTGGGCATTCTTTACTTAGTTATACTGAAAAGACTGGACTTCTCCACACACGTCCTGTCAGTTGTGCTTCCACATTTCCCTGCAGGCCTAAAATCTAAAGTGAAATCCCACACAGAGCCCTGTCGTCTTGCCTCCATCGCTTTTGGCACAATCTCCACTTTCTTTGGCTATCTACAGTTTGTGCTATATGTCTCCCTTTCAGGCCTCTTTGCCCCAGATTCCCTTTTGACTGACTGTTATTCTCATAGGCCAGAGGTGCAACTGTGAGTGCAGCCCTTCACAAATGCTTCAATCATGCATCTGAATGAGAACACTACTTTGTTTCAAATAAATATACATGCACACAACAGTCAGGCAGTTAACATCTGTGGGGCTGTGTCATTGATCTAAAATCATTGTAGAGATCAAGTCACAAGTACTTCATGAATCTTTGTCCCACTTTCAAAATGAGAAAATAGTTTATAACAATTAAACTATAGGGTTCACTTAAAAAGACAGGTATTATGTTAATTTAAATCATATCCCCTTGCTCTGTCTGTGAGAGCATGCCTTGATCTTTCTGCGGAGGCTTCAGGCAAAGTGGGGTTAAGTGTCTTGCTTAACATCTTTTATGTGTTCCCAGATATTAGGTTTATGTATACAAATTATATAAACAAGTGTTTATATAATACTTTATTCTTTATTTAAAATATAATTGACATGATCAATACAATATGTATGTTTAAGGTTTTCAAGCTTATCCAATCAGAGAGCAGAATGCGTATTTCATTTGGGTTGCCAGATTCTAAGGTTACATTCATGGATTCTCAGACAGTAACGTAAAAAAGGGGGGAACACCACACAAACTTAGAAAAATTAAAAAAACTTTAAAAACTTACGGAATAGTATTTTGTGTATACTGGTAAAAAAGAGCTCTGTGAATCACTATTTGACTTTTTTGGGCTGCAAGAGGCTTGACTGTGAAAATCAGATCTAAAGACGAGGAGATGGATTTTTATCACAGTCATGTTTTAAAGTGAAAAGTTAGATATCCCAGCTTTTAATGCACAGATGTCATGCGAAATGTTTGTGACATAAATTGATTTTTTTTTTCTCAGACCCTGCATCACTACAGGCCACAGCTAACCTGTCTTTACATAACAGCCCCTTCTTCAGCACATATGTTTCTTTATTTTTAAGAGTTGTTGACGTTAGCTTAGTGGCAACAATGCTACCCAAAACACCCTTTAGTAGCACTTTAGCATACATGTAGCATCACGTTAGCGTAGCTTATCAATTCAAGCCTCTCCATCCGGTAATTCTGATCCAAAGGTTATTCCTAATAAATCCATGGGTTATTCTCATTCAACTCTAAGTAAAGTTGAAGTGGTAAGTAACAACAGCTTTGACCCTTGAAATGATTTGAGGGGTCAAAGCTGCCTGACACTTAACAAACCAATAACTTTTACATTTTTTGTGCAATTATTAGTTTGACCACTCCATCTTGTCTGGGAAGACAATCTGATATCAAAGATACATCACATCATCAGGTCCATCCAAAATATTTCTTAAAATATTTCTGTATGTGATTAGTTGTTGTGTGAGCATCACAACTGGCAGTAATAGGACTTTTCTGACATATACTGTATGTTAAAAAAAAAACTCACACAATGTTCACTTTTGTTTGATACTGAAAACATGATGTCTTCCAATTTAGATTAGTATATTCAAATAATTCTGGTTTATTTTTGCTTATTTAAAATGTCAATGTTATTCTTCACAACATCACAGATTTTTGATACATTGGAATTGTGTGCATACTGCCATTTGCTACATTGGAAGCTTTTCTAAGCATTGTCATATTTTTTATTACAATAACAATGGCATGATTTCTCTGGACCATGAGTCTGTAATGAAGTTTTATGTGTATGTTAATGTTTGGTCTTTCATTCTCCAATAATACATCAGAATGAGCATCATTATTCTCTACGAAACAAGCCTCATGGGGTTTTGCTTTTAGACCTAGACCTCCTTTTATTATGAACTTCAACTCAAGGAAATTGCACCGAAAGTGATAATGTAGAGGTGTTTGTCCGAGAGTTGAAGCAAAAGAGCAAGCATGAATTTCTGAGGCACTTTTTGTGCAACCTATGTGGTTTGTAAGTTTGACCTGTGGGGCAGCCTGACTATAATGAGCTTCTATCCAGCCCCATCTCTTTGCACTTCCTGAATTGAGCCCAACTTAAAAAGGAATTAGAAATATCCTGCTCTGAGGACACAGCCTTTCGGAGAAAAAAGATGAATGGCATTAAGAAACTTGACTTGCAGTGCTTTTTTGCAGGGGGAATAGAGCAATTTGCGGCGCTATTCTCCGCTCTTGTGAAGCCCTCTATGATCAAGTCTCCTCACTGTCTTTCTCTAGTGATTATTTCGACTCATCAGAAGTCAAGAGTGCAGCCAGGGGATAGCGGACATCTTTTCTCTTCCTCTTCGGGCCCTGCTTACTCACCACTACAGTGAAGGTCAGTGGATGGACTCGTTCACCTCAAATCACCAGCCTGCACTAGTACTAGTCTAATGAGTGCATAGGCTTAACGCACTTATTATTACAGACTTTGTACTGTGGCCCTCATTTTCTGCCGCAGTCTCCCTTTGTTGATCTGTAGGTAATGCTCTCCACTCGAGGTGCCTCCTACCTTTATTGAAAAAGCCTGGTGGCCATTTTATGCCAGCTAGATAATTATAAACGTAACCCGTGGCTAAAAAGCAAAACACAACTCCCACATCCCTCTCTTTCTCTCAGCCTCCCTCGCTTCTCTCCTCCCTCAGCCTCAGGAGCTGATTTCAAATTTTCAAAGATATCTTATAGTGAGACTGGGCAAGATTGAAGGCTCATAAATATCTTTATTATAATATAATGGCCGCATATTTCTAGCCATTATTTCTACTGGAAAAATTAGTTCCTCCGAATGATGAATGCCTCTGCACTTTGGCGGCTGTAAATGTTCCTGGATGGACAATCACTATAGAGGCTAATATCTCCAATACGACACTACGATGGTGTGTCAATGTCTATATAGAAATGAGTATTGCATATTAAAAAGTAATGAGTCTATAGGTCTACTCGTTACCTATATAGTGGTAATTAGAGTATATCGACTTTATTCCTAAAAGATGCATTGCACAACTTTCCACTATCTGTCCAATAGCTGCGTGTTGCCATGTTATT